AAGACAGGGAGAAAGAAGATTATGTCCTGGTGGGAGGATAAATGAGTGTTGCCATAGAAGCGAGGGGATGCTGAAGCACAACTCCATCCTGGACCACGGAGCCACGGCAGAGCCTCGGGGCGGCCAGCGCGCTGCGGACAGACACCACCCCTGCGAATTCAAGGCAAGCTGACAGCCTGGGAAGTCAGAGAAGATAAATTTGTGTTATCAAGCCAAAGCCAGAGAGTCAATATTTAGCCTGGACACGGAGCCCAGCCCTTGTGCAGCCGGGGCCCCGTCCATCATGCTGCTCGATTGCCCTCCCGAGCTCTTCCAGCAGCGGCTTTCTCTCTGCCTGGTCTCACAGCCGGATCATGTTTCCCCCCCTCTCTGAGCTAACCCCATCCCAAAGACGCTTTTATCGGTCTCAGGGCAAGGGAGAAGCTGGGATTTGGGGGGTTCAAGGGCTTAGGAAAGAATTTGCCTCTGGGAATCTCTTTCTTCCATCTGCCTGGGATAAATTGTCCGATGGAGATGGAGGCTTTGCAGCTCGGCGGGGAACTGCTCAGAGCTAAACATGTGGAGGCAAAAACACTCTTGATCCCTCCCCACTGCAGGAACTGGGTGTTGAAAAGTCCTGGAAAGGGTGGGGAGAGCTCTCTGTCGCGTGGCCCTGTGCTGGGATGAAGCAGGAGGGCGTTTTGCCTGGGCTCTGTGCATGGAGACGTTGCCCGTCCTGCCCCCGGGTTCTCTCCTAGGAGGACCAGCTCGCCCACAGGAGGCAGGAGCAAGCTTAGGAAGCTGCAAGCACCACGGGAGACATGATTAACTAGAAGGAGAAGGGATTTTTATTTGGCCTGTTTATGATTTTCTGCTTTCGTTATGTCCCTATAAAGAACATGCCTTGCCAGTTAACAGCCCTGACCTTACTGGAGCAGGAATAAAACTGAGAAAACTACCCTTGGCATGTGCGCCTGCAGCCCTGGCACGGCGTGGGGGGCTGTGTTTACAGCTCCATCCCTTCCTCCATCTGCGTTCAGCTTCTGCGGCGCGTTATTTATACTGCAGCAGGGATCACGGCATGCTCGGTCTTGTCTCTGCCAAAGAGGGGAAATCCCTGCCCTGGAAAGCAGGCTCCTGAGTTCATTTACTGCGTGGTCCTAAAGCAGGACCATGACCCAGTCTCACCGGGTGTCCAGAGCCCTGGAGAAAGGCTAAGGCCCCTCTGGGATGCCAGTGCTCCATTTATTCCTTCTTTAGATCTTGCAATCAAAGCCCTTTCACACTTCCGCTAAAGAAAAATGTCAATGTGACACGAAATGTCACAGTTTCAGGTTTTTTTCTTTCCAAACCTGAAGCCTTTCAGAAGCATCTCTCCATAAGAGAGATGTCCCCAAAGCGGGATGCCTCCAAGATGTGCTGGGCCGGTACCAGCCACGGCTGCACCACATCCCCTGGGACAGGGGCTTCTGCCCAAGGCTGTACTTGCCCGTGCTGAGCTGGGGCTCTGGGTAACCTTGTGCAGGCAGGGCCAGAGCCCAATGGTCCTTTTCAGCTCCCCAAATGAGAGATGCTTCATCTCCTCATGACCTCCTGTGAGCGGGATGCTGCAGTGAGGACCACATCCCTCCCTGCCTCCCCAGGAGGTGCCCGTGGCTGCAGCAGGGCTCCTGGGGACCTGGCTGCCAGCACGGGTACCGCAGGGAAATTGGAGGGGTCGGAGGGCAAAGGAGCTGCTCTAAACACTGGCAAAAAGCGATTTTGATAGAATCTCAGAGTTGTTTGGGTTGGAAAAGCCCTTTAAGCTCACCAAGCCCAACCGTTCCCCTACCCCTGCCATCCCACCCCCAAACCCTGGCCCTCAGCACCGCCTCGTCCCATCGCCCCTTCCCTGGGAGCAGAGCCCGACCCCCCCGGCTCCCCCCTCCTCTCAGGCAGTTGTAGGCAGCGATGAGGTCTCCCCTCAGCCTCCTCTGCTCCAGGCTGAACCCCCCCAGCTCCCCCAGCCGCTCCCCAGCAGCCTGGGGCTCCAGACCCCTCCCCAGCTCCGCTGCCCTTCTCTGGCCGTGTTCCAGCTACACAATGTCTTTCCTGTAGTGAGGGGCCAGGGGTGTCTAAGCACTGCTGGTCCCAGGGAATTACTCCTCCTCTCTCCTGCAGGTTCCTGATCTGCCCCTCTGCATCCCCGGCACCCGTGTCCATCCCGCAGCGGGCTCAGAGACGCCGGGTTGCGGAGCAAACAGTCCCTTCTCCCCTCTTCGTGCTCTCCGGGGGGCTCACAGAGGAACAAGCCTCATCCCAGGTGCCCTTGAGAGCCGCATCCCCCTGCGCCCGCCTTGCTCATGGCAGCCCCTGCTTTCGATGCCTGGGGCTAAACTTGCCTTTTCTGGGGCTGAAGCGCGGGTGCTCCGGCTCCCGGTGATTGGGTGCTATTTTGCTCCG